AGTTGTCAAAAATGAAAAGGAATGCATAAACATCGATAACTGAGGCATTAGTGAGCTGAAATGGACTGGTATTGGCCATTTTGAATCTGACAACCACATGGTTTACTATGCCGGAAATGACAAATTGAAGAGGAATGGTGTTACATTCGTTGTCTAAAAGAACATATCCAGATCAGTCATGAGGTACAATGCTGTCTGTGATAGGATAATATCCATGCGTCTACAGGGAAGCCCAATTAATACCACTATTATTCAGATTTATGCACCAACCACTAAAGCCAGTGAGGATGAAACAGAAGAATTCTACCAATTTCTTTAATCTGAAATTGATCAAAATGCAATCAAGTTGTATTGATCATTACTGTTGATTGGAATGCAAAGGTTGGGAGCAAAGAGGAAGGATCAGTAGTTGGAAAATATGGCCTTGGTGATAGAAATGATGCTGGAGAACCCATGAAAGAATGCTGCAAAATCAATGATTTGTTCATTTCAAATATCTTCCTTAGACAGCATAAGAGATGGCTATACACATGGACCTCACCAGATGGAATACATAGAAATCAAATTGACTATATCTGCTGAAGGAGATGATGGAAAAGCTCCATATCATCAGTCAAAACAAGGTCAGGGGCAGACTGTGGAACATACCATCAATTACACATATGCAAATTCAAACTGAAGCTGAAGAAAATGAAAACAAGTCTACGAGAGCCAAAATATGACTTTGGATATATACCCCCTGAATTTAGAGATCATCTGAAGAACAGATTTGATATATTAAACACTAAAGAATGAAGACCAGAAGAGTTGTGGGATGACATCAAGAACATCATACATGAAGAAAACAAAAAGTCATTAAGAAGACAAGAAAGAAGAAAAAGGTCAAAATGGATTTCAGAAGAGACACTGAAACTTGCTCTCCAGCATAGAGATGTTAAAGCAAATGGAAGAAATGAGGAGGTCCAAGAGCTAAACAGAAAATTTCAAAGATCAGCTTGAGAAGATAAAGCCAAATATTACAACAAAATGTGCAAAGATCTGGAATCAGAAAACCAAAAAGGAAGAACACGCTCAACATTTCTCAAGCTGGGGGAACTGAAGAAAAAAAATTCAAGCCTTGACTTTCATTATTGAAAGATTCTCTAGGCAAATTATTGAGTGATGCAGAAAGCATCAAGAGAAGATGGAAGGAATACACAGAGTCATTGTACCAAAAGGAAATGGTTAATGTTCAACTGTTTCAAGAGGTAGCATATGATAAAGGAGGAAGTCCAAGGTGAATTGAAGGAATTGGCAAAGAACAAGGCACCAGGAATTGATGGAATAAAAATTGAAATCTTTCAAGAAAGTGAGGCAGCACTGAAGGCAGTCACTCATCTCTGCGAAGAAATTTAGAAGACAACTATCTGGCCGACTGATTGGAAGAGATCCATATTCCAAAGAGAGGTGACAATGGAATGCGGAAATCATTGGACAATCTTTGATATCCCATGTGAGTAAAGTTTTACTAAATGTAATACAGAGACGGTACAACCATATTTTGACTGAGAACTTCCAGAGGTTCAAGTCAGATTCAGAAGAGGCTGTGGAACAATGGATATCAATATTGATGTCTGATGGGTCTTAGCTGAAAGCAGAGAATATCAGAAAGTTGGTTACCTGTGCTTTACTGACTATGCAAAGGCATTGTGTGGATCATTACAAGCTATGGACAACATTGCGAAGTATGAGTAATCCGGAACACTTAATTGTGCTCTGTACCTGGACCAAGAGGTAGTTGTTCAAACAGACATGGGAACACTGAATGGTTTAAAATTAAGAAACATTTGTGACAAGATTGTCTTCTTTCACCATACTTATTCAACCTGTATGCTGAGCAAATAATCCGAGAAGCTGGGTTATATGAAGAACAATGTGGCATCAGGATTGGAGGAAGATTCATTAACAGCCTACGATATGCAGATGATACAATCTTGCTTGCTGAAAGTGAAGAGGACTTAAAACAAATACAGATGAAGATTAAAGAGCACAGCCTTTGGTATGGATTACATCTCAATGTAAAGAAAACAAAAATCCTCACCACTGGACCAATAAATAACATTCTTATCAACAGAGAAAAGATTGAAGTGGTCAAGGACTTCATTCTTCTTGGATCAACTATCAACACTCATGGAAGCAGCAGTCAAGAAATCAAATAACGTATTGCATTAGGCAAATCTGCTGCACAAGGCCTTTTTAAAGTGTTGAAGAGCAAAGATGTCAGCTTAAGGACAAAGGTGCACCTGATCCAAGCCATGGTATTTTCAATAACCTCATATGCATGTGAAAGCTGGACAGTGAATAAGAAAAACTGTAGAAGAATTGATGTTTTTGAGTTATGGTGTTGGAGGAGAATATTGAAAGTGCCATGGGCTGCTAAAAGAACCAACAGATCCGTGTTGGAAGAAGTGCAGTCAGAATACTCTTTGGAGGCCATGATGGCCAAACTTCGTCGCTCATACTTTGGATATATTGTTAGGAGGGACCAGTCACTGGAGAAGGATATCATGTTTGATAAGGTGGAGGGTCTGAGAAAAAGAGAAAGATCCCCAATGAGATGGATTGGCTAAGTGGCAGCATCGATGGACTCAAGTGTGGTAACAGTAGTGAAGTTGGCCCAGGATCGGGTCATGTTTCGTTTTGCTGTGCATAGGGTCACTATGAGTTGGTACCGGATCCATGGCACCTAACAACAACAACAACATGCTATGAACCCAGTGCAATGCACCAGAACGATAAAGGAGTAGGGATTAATGAATGACACCTTTGTGAACTTGCTGAAACACCAGTTCCGTTGTTGTTGTTAAGTGCCATTGAGTCGGTTCCAACCCACAGTGACCTTGTATAGGGTTTTCAAGGAGTGGCTGGTGTGTTTGAACCGCTGTCCTTGAAGTTCAAACTGAACTTTCGATTGAGTGCTTATCCTACAATTATAGAAACCTTAAACACCTCTTCCTGTTCCAATCAGTTCCTGGCTTTTGCTAAGTAAAAATTGGATTGACTTTGTATGCAAAGGATAATCCAGCAAGGACTAAAGAGTCAAGTTGGTTAGAACTCATAGTGACACTGTGTAGGATTTCCAAGGAGTGGCTGTTGAGTTTGAACCGCCAACCCTGAGGCTCAAACTGATCTTGCAGTTGAGTGCTTATCTTACAGTTATGGTGGTTATGTGCTGTGGCATCGGTTCCAACTCCTAGCAACCCTGTATAGGGTTTCCAAGGCTGTAAATCTTTACTGTAAATCTTTACTTTTGAACTGCCTAATTGGTAATCACTAGGAGACCAGAGCTCCTTATCCTACAGTTATGGTTGTGGTTATGTGCCGTGGAGTCGGTTCCAACTCATAGCGACCCTGTATGTACAGGGTTTCTGAGGCTAGAAACCTTTACAGGAGCAGAAAGCCTCATCTTTCTCCTGCAGAACAGCTGGTAGTTTCAAATTGCTGACCTTGCTGTTCACAGCCCGATTTGTAACCACTACACTACAGGAATCCTAAATACCACCTCCTGTTCCAATCAGTTCCAGGCTTTTGCTAAGTAAAACTTGGATTGTCTTTGTGTGCAGAGGACAATCCAACAAGGACTACAGAGTGGTCGTAGTAGCAGTAGTAGAAGCAGGAACCGCAGCAGCAAAAGAAACATGTTCCATTTCATTTTTTACTACCAATTTTCCTAGCTTCATACTTCATACATTCCAGTATCTTACTTAATGGATGTTTGCAGTTGTTTCTTCTCATTTTGTGTTGTGCCCCATCAGTAAATGAAGGTCCTGAAAGCTTTGCTCCATCTATGTCATAAGGTCAGCTCTACTTCGAGGAGGCAGCTCTTCCTCAGTAGTATTTTGAGTGCCTTCCAACCTGAGGGGCTCATCTTCTAGCACTCTATCTGACATTTTGCTGCATTTCTTAAGGGTTTCAGTGGCTTACCATCAGGAATGTTCCTACTTGCTTTTTTCTTAGTCTGTCTTAGTATGGAAGTTACACTGAAACCTGTCCCTGTGGGTGACCCTGCTGATATTTAAAATGCCAGCATCAAAGCCACACACAAGTCATCGCAGAATGGCAAACTGACAGACAAGTAGTGGACATGAAACCAAGGGAATGAATAAAATCATCTAGGAGAATGGGTAGAAATAGAAGGGAAGGCTTGGGAGGATCAAAATTTAGCAGATACTAGTATTTTGGGCAGTGATTATTAGTTTTGGAGGGATTGATGACCTCTCTGAAAACTAGATAAAAATTGGTCCCCTCTAGAATGTAAATTTTCACAGACTTAAAATAATTGTTGTAATTTCCAGGACATTAAAACCTGTGCCGAGGACTTCCACAGACTTCAGATATTTCAACAAAGAAAGAGAGCCTATGAAAGGAGAACGGTGAATGAAATAGGTAGAAGGAAATCCAGACTTTAAACTTACGAAGATTTACTTTAAACTTAGCAAGATTTACTAATACAACAGTACACTTACAGTCTCTGAATGGTAGCCTGCTTCTCTTATATATTGCTGTTTGTAAAATAAAAACAGAAATCTGTTTATATTTCTTTTGTTGTTGTTGTTCCAAGGTATCTGTTTATATTTCTGTTAGAAATTATATATTTCTAACATATATTTGGAGTCCTGGTGTGAGACTGAGGGGTAATGTGCTGGGTTGAACTGCAAGGTAAGCTCACCAGCTGCTCTTCGGAAACCCTATACAGGGTCGCTGTGTGTTGGAACTGACTTGATAGCACTTAACAACAACATGTATATTTAGAATTCACTGAGTTTCCCAGCAGCTGAATTCCGTTCCATTTCATTTTGGATTTACATTCCCTTACTCAAAGAAGCCATGGCTTAGTTAATTTAAAGTATCTGAATAAACTAACAATGTTTTTCTCTTTGCTTTAAGTATAAAATTAAGGAAGGCAAACCCAGCACACATTTGTGATTTATTGGGATCCCTTTCTTTTGTGTCCTACTTACCCACAGAAGTGATGATAACTGTGAAATGGGTTTCATCTTGTCTTCCAGTTACATTGTTGTAAGCACAGCATACATAGTCAGTTGGTTTCTGAGCGACTTTCTCAGATGCAACTTCCAAGCGAGGCCCGTGCTTAATGACATATGTTGTATTGTCAGCCCTCTGGATCCAGGAGTAGGTATTGGGGGGATAAGAGTCAGCAGAACAATCAAACAGGATGGCTTCTCCCAGATCAACAGTGAACACTTCTCCTACTTTTAGTCCTTTATCAGAATTAACTCGAAGTCCGTAGGGCCCATCTGAATTCATATGAAAAAGACAGAGAGGAGCAAAATAAGTACTCATGACATCATTTTTGAATCTGGAGAGAGTAAAAGAATTTTGTTTTTCTTTGCAAGTTTTCATGATAGAATAATGTAATAAGTCCTTATTTACACTCCCAGAAAATGGTGAGGGTATAACAAATGTTATTTTGATCTCCAAGAAAATGGACATTATATGACATGTGACTGAATTTATTGGAAATAATAAAAACCTTGAAACGTAGTAGACGGTTTAGTGGACGCTGGCATCACGATTGTGATACTAAACTCTTGGTAATGTATTGGTAAATCTGTAATCTTCTAGACAAAATCTTTCTGGAAGAATAATTGCACTTGGAACTACTTGCACAATAGATTATGGGCCCTATTTGCTCTTTGACAGCCATGCTTTCGTATTATTTGTTTGTCTTCTTAGTGCTGGGAACGGTCATGAAAACATTTATAATAGGCATGGTTTGTTTCAAATGGAACACAACTTTATGCAAATAGATGTGTTCCATGTTTTCATGATATTTTAACAGTTAAAAGATTAAAAAATTACCTCCCTGTGAAAGTTTAAGGAGCTCTGTCTGGTTGTGCAGTGGGGCTACTTGTTGGGCTGCTAACCACAAAACCAGCAGTTAAAATCCACCGGTTGCTCTGCAGTAGGAAGATGAGGCTTTGTGTTCCTGTAAAGATTTAAAGCCTCAGCAACCATAACAGGGTCATTATGAGCTGGAACTGACCGGAAGGCACACAGCAACAGCAGCAGATACAGTTATGATTCCATTTAGAAAAATACATTTCATTGTCATTTTCATAGCAAATGCTCATTAATCATCAATAAATTACTCAATTTTGGATTCCCCAAGGTGGTTTTCCTCACATGGGAATATTTCCATAGCATTTTGCCATTTCTATGACAGCGGGCTGTCAGCAGATGAAAACACATTTCTCATTGCTTTCTTTTTGAGGCCACAGAAAAAAATCAAGAGGCTAAAAAATAGTCTCCAGTTAATAGGTTTTCTCATTGTTTATTTTTTCAAAAAACTTGTGGCTTTAGGCATGAGTGTGTGTTTTCCAGTTGATCATAACTAACATTTATTTAGTATTTGCCACGTAGCCTCCTTGTGTGGCATTGTAGTATCAGCACTGCACTGTGAACCACAAGGCTGGAAGTTCAAACCCACCAGCTGTTCCTTGGAAACCCTATATAGGGTTGCTATGAGTCAGAACCATTTTGACAGTACATAACAACAACAAAAAAAATAATAGTCACTTCAAGTGCGTATACAGATGAACACATCTAATCGTCACAGCAACCATAGGAGGTTGTTGCTGTTGTTATGTGCCATCAGGTCTGTTCTGACCCATAGCGACCCTGTACAGGGTTTCCGAGGCTGTAAATCTTTACGGGAGCAGAAAGCCTCATCTTTCTCCTGCAGAGCAGCTGGTAGTTTCGAACTGCTGACCTTAAGGTTCACAGCCCGATTCGTAACCACTACCCTACCAGAGCTCCTTAAGTGTAGTATAATGTATGATAAAAGAAGCTTTTATATAATTTTCTCAAGGAATTTTTATATTGGATAAAGTTATGAATGGTTTACTCACTGATGGCCTAATCTCAAAGGTTCTGATAAAAAAAAAAAAAAAAAAGATAAAAAAGAGCTTGCGCTTCACCTTCCTCTTGCTCTTCTTGCGCGCTGCCGTCTCAACACGCATCGTGGCTGCCCTCAGACCCTGGTGAAGCCCAAGATCATCAAAAAGAGGATCAAGAACTTCATCTGGCACCAATCAGATCGTTATGTCAAAATGAAGGGTAACTGGAGCAAGCCCAGATGCATTGACAACAAGGTATGGAGATATAAGGACCAGATCTTAATGCCTAACATTGGTTATGGGAGCAACAAGAAGACT